CGACCACGGCAAACTGACCACGGCAGACGGAGCACGATAGAACCGGCTTACAGCAGACCGACCACGGCAGACCGGACCACGACAAACTGACCACGGCAGACGGAGCACGATAGACCGGCTACAGCAGACCGACCACGGCAGACCGACCCACGACAAACTGACCACGGCAGAGCACGATAGACCTCCCACCGACCGACCAGACCACGACAAACTGACCACGGCAGAGACGGAGCACGATAGACCGGCTACAGCAGACCGACGACGGCAGACCGACCACGGCAGACCGACCACAGCAGACCGACCACGGCAGACCGACCACGGCAGACCGACCACGGCAGACCGACCACGGCAGACCGTCCACGCAGACCGACCACGACAAACCGACCACGGCAGACCGACCACGGCAGACCGACCACGGTAAATCGACAACGGCAAACCGACCACGGCAAACCGACCACGGCAGACCGACCACGGCAGACAGACCACGGCAGACCGACCACGGTAAATCGACAACGCAAACGACCACGGCAAACCGACCACGGCAGACTGAGCACGGCAGACCGACCACGGCAAACCGCCACGGTAGAGGGACCACAGCAAGACCGAGCACGGCAGAGGGAACACAGCAGACCGAGCACGCAGAGGGACCACGGCAGACCGACCACGGCAGACAGACTACAGCAGCCCGACCACGGTAGACCGACTACAGCAGCCCGACCACGGTATAGACGACTACAGCAGACCGACCACGGTAGACCGACTACAGCAGCCCGACCACGGTAGACCGACTACAGCAGACCGACCACGGTAGACCGACTACAGCAGCCCGACCACGGCAGACCGACTACAGCAGCCCGACCACGGCAGACAGACTACAGCAGCCCAACCACGGTAGGCCGACTACAGCAGACCGACCACGGCAGACGACACTACAGCAGACGGAACCACGGCAGACAGACTACAGCAGACGGACCACGTCAGACAGACTACAGCAGACGAGACCACGTCAGATCGACTACAGCAGCCCGACCACGGCCAGTCCAACGCAGCAGACCGACCACGGCAGACCGACCTTATCAGACCGACCACGGCAGACAGATCACAGCAGACCGACCTCGCAGCAGATCGACCTTACCAGACCGATCACGGCAGACCGACACGGCAGGCAGATCACAGCAGACTAACCACGGCAGACCGACAACAGCAGACCAACCACGGCAGAACCCGGCCACCAGACCGACCACGGCAGACCGACCGCACCAGACCGACCGCACCAGACCGACCGCAGCAGACCGACCTTATCAGACCGACTACGGCAGACCGATCACAGCAGAACCGATCACGGCAGACAGACCACGGCAGACAAATCACAGCAGACCGACCACGGCAGATCGACCACAGACCGACCACGCAGAACCGACCTTACCAGACGAACCGCAGCAGACCGACCTTACCAGACTGACCGCAGCAGACCGACCTTACCAGACTGACCGCAGCAGACCGACCACGGCAGACCGATCACGGCAGACCGACCACGGCAGACCGGCCACGGCAGACAGACCACGGCAGACCGACCACGGCAGACAGACTACAGCAGACCGACACGGCAGACCGACTACAGCAGCCCGACCACGGAAGACCGACTACAGCAGACCGACCACGGCAGACAGACTACAGCAGCCCACCACGGTAGACCGACTACAGCAGACCGACCACGGCCAGACAGACCACGCAGACCGACCACGGCAGACCGACTACAGCAGACGGACCACGTCAGACAGACTACAGCAGACGGACCACGTCAGACCGACACAGCAGACGGACCACGTCAGACCGACTACGCAGACGGACCACGTCAGACCGACTACAGCAGACGGACCACGTCAGACCGACTACAGCAGCCCGACCACGGCAGTCCAACCGCAGCAGACCGACCACGGCAGACCGACCTTATCAGACCGACCACGGCAGACAGATCACAGCAGACCGACCTCGGCAGATCGACCATACCAGACCGATCAGCAGACCGACCACGGCAGACAGACCACAGCAGACCGACCACGGCAGACCGACCACGGCAGACCGACCACGGCAGACCGAGTACGGCAGACCGACCACGGCAGTCCAACCGCAGCAGACCGACCACGGCAGAGGGACCACAGCAGACCGACCACAGCAAACCGACCAGATCGACCACAGCAGGCTGACCATGGCAGACCGACCACAACAGACCGACCACGGCAGACCGACCACGGCAGACCGAGTACGGCATAGTAGCCAACTTGACTGGTGCAGTGGACCAGACAGCACAACAAGCTGCCTGTCAGTGTTGTGGCTCACTCCACTCCTCCAGCCGCCGGCCGGCCGCTGATGTACCTGGCTGTGTGGTGTGCCGACATAGGCCTGACACGCGGCCTGGTCTACCAGAGGGAAACTGGGGACATTAATCCGGTCTTCCATTTTGGCGTTGGTGTCTCTACGGAGGAACGACCAGCGGGCTTGGGCGGCTGCTTTTCGGCCGCCACGGTGCACGTGTGTCTTGCATTCAGTTTTTTGTTGGTGTTAATCCAGCAGAGCTGCAGTTCTGAAACAATCACATTCGATGCCGTACACGTCTGGAACCGAGGTGTGGGTTCGATTCCCGCCGCGGTGGCCCGCCCTTCCTGCCAAGGGCGAGAGGCGACGTATTATAGCTCAGCAGCTGAGTGCGTCGCAAACCCCAATGACTTGACATACATGAATTCAGATCCGTAATTTTGCGTGATAAACTCCAGGAAACTAGCCAGATGGCAAAAGGAAATGGTGCTGGGTCGTTTTGATCAGACAGTTACATGGCCTTCCTGCCAATGCTGCACACCTCATTTTACGCGACCATTCCATCAAGCTCGTGAGCCGGCGCTACTGCAGCATCGATCACTGTCTTGGTGCACCTGCCAGCTGCCGTGTGAGCTACCTCTCACGACTGCGTTTGTGCAGCATTCCGGAGCATTGCACGACCAAGGACGTTGTGTTATCGAGGACGCTTTTCCTCTCTTTCATTCGAACCCACGGGAGCTGGTGAGGAGAGACTCACACTTCAATGTGGAAATGGATAGCTATGGGTTTCATTGATGATTACCTTTTAAATGCATTGATTCTACGTGTATTTATACGTTTGTATGTTTGTTTGTTCTTGCATTGGTTACATACCGTCCCCCATCGCATTCGTTAGTGCAGCGGGTAGCTGGCATACCGTCGGGAACCGTGGCAGACATGTGCGCTGGCATACGAAAAACCGGCTGATGTGATGTTGTATAATGGTCAGCTGGCTATCGGCCAAGAGTGTTGGCTGGCACATGCTGCTGTGTCGTAACATTACATGAAACGGTCAAATATCGCGGCAAACAGTGAAATTGGCTTGCGTGAAATTGGGACGCGTGACTCCAGTCAGGTTGTAAGCCGCACTGGTGTCAGGAGAGGTCGGCGCATGTCAGGTCAGGTCAGGAGAGCTCGGCGCACGCGTCAGCGTCGGTCGTTCCAAAAGAGATTCCGATTATACCTGGCGATAGCATGTTTGACAAGGGTTCTGCACCCCGTAAGATGCATCCCCAAACGAAATCAAATTTGTTTTGAAAAAGCATGAACGTTCAAACTGGAGGCTCCTGAGTGACGGCATCCTTTTGTCAGCTCTTCTTTCCGTGCCTATTCTTTCGCAAGACTATGGCTACAGCGGAAGGTGAACAGGGGTTGGGAATTGTGGTCATCATCTGACGTCCCCCTCAGTTGAAGCCAAAACTACCCACCATTAGGTACGGAAAGAGCGAACGGTAGAATATAAAAAGATAATCAACTATCGGGAATGTAGGCCGATATTTTTGCTGCCTTACCCCCACCCTCCCCCAAAAATCGAACAATTTACGTTGGTCTGATCCCTTGAAGCATCGATTTGATGTCCTCTGGCGCAGAACTTTGTCGCCCTCTGCCTTGTTGCGTCAGGACTGAGCGTGTTCCGGCCCTAGGTAACGCAGCGCCGCCCTCATTGGCCGGCGATGGGGCAGCGGTCCGTTTGTGGACGTGGCATGTGGGTGCCACGTGCGCTGGACGTGGCATTTGGGTGCCACGTGCGCGGGACGTGCCGGCCTGCGCCCGCCGCTCAGGAGGGGCTGGCTACCGGGTAATTTGTAGGGGCTGCTGGAGAGGAGAAACAGTAACGATGAATGACGCCGGTCCCGTTCATTCAGAACGAAACGTAAAATGCATGAAGCATGGACTCACGTATCAGCAGGGCTAGGCATCTTGCCAGTTGCTATGCGTGTGCCTCGGCTTGTCCAGCGGCGTGAGCGTGCTGCGGCTCAGTGCGTGCACGCTTCTCCCCGCCTGCGACGGTGGGGCGGAACTGAGCGTGACTCAGCGGCGGTTCACACCAGTTTAGCCCGGCGGCGACCGCGCTCAGACGCACGCCAGCCGCCGGCTCCGGCTGCGCCGGCCACTGGCGACCTTGCCCGTAATGAGCGCCGCTAAAAACCGCGGCGCGCGCTGAACTGGGCCGGTGGCCGCCGGGCGCTCGGAGCCCCCGCCCCACCCCAGCGCCGGCGAGGCGCGCAGGTGCACGCGCCGGCACGCACGAGCGGCTCGAAGTGGCGCGAGCCGACACCGGATCCGGCTCGGCCGATTGAAAGCGTGGCGGCGTCCGAGGGGCCCCCGCCAGCTGCGTATGGGCGGAAGGAGCCGTCTGGCATGGGCTCGACGGACAGCGGCAGCATGCAACGAATGGGCCCGCACGTGGACGAGCTGACTGCGAGTTGAAAGGGACGGACTTCGCTGAGATGTCGCGGTGATTCGGAGGGCGCTCCCTGCATAGAGAGGCTACCGACGTTGGGCTGGACAGATGCGTGACGGAATGATGGACTAGGCGGCTTTCATGTCATAGCGAACCTAAAAGCAGCGCCCAGTAGCCAGTTTGTCCGTGCGTCTGGGTGGAGTTTCTGTCGCGGCGTTGTCGTTTCCTTCCTTTGCGTGTTTCTGCCGCCAGGTCGCTGAGTGCGTGTCCAACGGGTTCCGCCCGCCAAACTGACGGCCGCCGGGGTGCCCTACCGTGCCGGTGCATGCGTGAGCCAAGGATAAGTGCAGTAGTAAACACGGCCGCCAAGTGCCGCGGGCCGGCCAAGGCTGCGGCCGCCCGGCCGGCCGGAACGGGCCGTCATTTCCTCCGGAGCGGCGCGGAGGGCCGCGGCACGGCCGTAATGAACCGGCCGTCATTACCGGCGCTCATTACCGCCCCCGCGTCGTGGAGTCGCGTGCTGCGGTCGGCGCCGGCGCCGCCCCTGTGCCGGCGCCGGCGCCGGCGCCGCCGCGCAGCCGGGCACCGGGCGTGCCGCGCGCCGCAGACGGCGCGCGCCGGCCGCCCGAGGGACGCCTGCTGGCTGGCTGCCGGCTCGCGGCTCGCGGCCGCCGCCGGCCGTGACGTCACGGCCGCCGTGCAGTGTCGCCGCTGCAGGGGGCGTGCCAGCGAGGGTGGCGTCGCTGGCGTGTCGCCGCGGGTCTCGGGAGGCGTCGCACTGGCGGCAGGAGACCGCAGGCGTTCGGCTGCTGTGCCGGGGGCGGCGCGACACGCGAAAGCGGCTGGCAATGTGGCGGATGATTGGGATGGAGGATGATTGGGAGTGGTGGCCGAGGAAGATGACGACACATACTTTTTGAATCTGGCCAAATAGGCGTGGGCAAGATACCCGCCCCCTCCCCCAAGAGTACTCTTTCAATTTTACCACGCATGGAAAATGACTACGTCCAATACACCTGGTTGGGCAATGAATCATCTCTTTCAAATGGTAATCCCGGCTATTGTCTATCATTTTCACCCTGTTTTTGTGTTGACACTCTTGTACTTAAGCGTGTATGTTTTCACTGCTCATTGGCTTTATGCGTACCGAAGCCCCGTGGGCTTTTGCCGTTTTTTAAAAACTAAATCTAAGAATAACAGTTCAACAACAGTTAACCACGTTCGCTTCATTCCTACGCGGCCACTGTCGCCGTCCCTAACCTGTCGTGTCGGACGCGATCCGTCGCAGTCCGACGCATCACAAACCATGCTCCCGTGGGAACGGGAGGCCGCCCTGCCGGCGGCCGACGCTGATCCGCGAAGGTCGGTGTCCGCGCCAGGCGCGCGGCACCGAGGCCCGCCATGTCCCCGGCCGTGCTGATCGGGCTGCCGCATCGGCCCGACCATCCGCAACGCTTCAGGCATTGGCGCCGAGCTGCGGCGTGTCATGAGTCGTGCCGCTCTGCCGCTGCGCCCCTCACCTGTGGCCCGGCTGTAATGGAGGCGCACCGGCGGGCGCACAACTCCGCCCAAACCTCGTTCCTCAGCGGAATCGATCACCTTGTTTACGGGCGCCCTGCGGCGGCGCCCGCCGCGCCCCGTTCGCTTCCGGCGCCGCGAGCGATCTGCCGCGAGCGCCGCGAGCGCCGCCGCCGCCGCCGCCGCCGCCGCACGCGCGGGGCGGCGGCCGGCGCTGGTGTCGAACGTGACAAATTGGGCCTGCTCTGCGCCGGCCCCGGACAGGCGGACACGCGCGGGCGGGACGACGTCACGGCGCGTCGGGGCGGGTGGCCGCGGCCGGCATTGTCGGCGCCGTCCGAGCGGCCAGCACTCTCGTCCCGGTCCGGCGTGTCGAAACGCCGGCGAGTGAGTGGCCGCGGCGTGATCGGCCGGAGCGAGGAGGCGCTGCGAGGATCGGCGGACGGAAGACAGCGTGGCCGGCTGGGACACGGGACCGGGGCGGAGTCGACCCGAGTATCGGAATACAGGATGGGGCACCGCACGGGGGAGGGGGAACACCCCGCCCCGGGGCGAGTGAACCCAACGAGGCAGAGTCTGCCCCGGGAGGGAGGGCGGTGGCGGGTCGGCCGGGCCCGTTCGTGTCCGGTAATGGCCGGCTTCCGTGCCGACGGCTGTCGTGACCTGGCGGCGGCGGCGGCGGCGGCGGCGCGGGGCGTGGCGCGCCGCTGACGGCGGCCGGCGGCCCCCGGTCAGCGGCGCTGCCACAAGTGTGCCGCCGCAGCTGCGTGCGTGCGGCGCCGACAACCGCGCGGCCGGCGCCGACACTGTGCGCCGCCGGCCGCGCGGCAGGATGGCGCCGCGTCCGGAGCCGGCCTGAGTGTCCGCGCCGCCGCCGCCGCTGCCGTGATGTTCTGGACCTCGCACTGGTCGGCGTTCGAGCGCGGCCAGCCGGCCGGCGAGCCGTGGCGCCGGCGCTGGCCCCAGCCGGCCCCGCTGGCGCCGCTGCAGGAGGAGACGGGTGCGTGCTCGGGGCGGCGCTGCTGTGTCGCGCGCGCCGTGCCGCGCTGCTGTGCCGAGCGCGGTGTCGTGTTCGACTGCTGGTGGGCGAGCTGCCGCCGGGCGCCGCGCTCTGCCCCCGCCGCCGCCGCCGCGGGAGCGCCGTCAGTCAGCGGGGCGACCGCGGCCCGCCTCCGACGCCAGTCACGTGACGGCCGCACCGCCGCCGGCGTCTCGGCCGACCCGGTGACGAGGACGGCGCCGGCGGGACCGCGGCCTCCGAGCGAGCGGCCGCGCCGGCCCAGGGGCGCCCGGCTGGGCGGTGCCCTGACCCCGACCGGGCGGCAGGGCCCGTCAGGTGGGCCACGGTCGCCCGGCGCCGGTCGCTTGCGTCAAGAGACGCCGGCGGGCCGCCGCGCGGCGCACGGGAATGCCGCGGCCCGAAGCGGCGTGGACGGAGCGGAAGTGGAATTCCGGCCGGGAGGGCCGTCAGCGGCCGGAGCTGGCGGTATCGCGATGGCCACGTGACCGGTCACGTGACCGTCACGTGACCACCGGCGGTGCTTTTGCGTGTCGACGTTTGATCATGCGCTCTGCAGACGGGCGGGTATTTTTGTCCCTGGTTTATCGCGAATAATGACGTTGCAGTGGTCGTGAGCGCGGACCGAGATGTCTACAATTTTGGTTATTGATGATGGAAACCCGCCCGCGTTTTGTTTGCGAGGCACGGGTAACAAATTAAGCTATCGTTGGCATCCAATTTCACGAAAGCTAGCTGGCGAAAGTGCATGGCTTAATGGGATCCGTTTCTACGACTAGGAAACCCCTTATTTCCCTCAGTTATTCTGATAATTTGCTCAGTCAGGAAGCGGGCTCGACCTTCACGGCCGGTCGCTCCCTCCCCTCTATTAGCAGAAGCGATTACTTCGCTGTAACTACCGCTTGATGTGAAAGCGTTCCCCACTTGCATCACGCTCCACTTGACCCCAGCCGCAGTGGCCGACTACCGAACGGTGCTGGTCGCTGGCACTTGGTCGCGGTGAATTACTGAATGGGAGATAGGGGCCGCTACTGAATAGCACTTCTCTTGGTGATTCGCCCCGACCTCGGGTGGGTACCGGATATTAGCCAGCCTGTTCAGGCCCCCGCGGATCTGCCGTATTAGCTGCCCCGCGCCTGTGTTCCGGTGAGCCCGGCATGGGCGGCCAGTCCTGAAGCGATGGTCCCCTGCTCACGCCCACTCCCGCTGCAGGCTCCGGCGACGCCCCCGGTCTGGGGGCCGGTCCCACTGCGAGGCCCCGTCCGGCGGCGATGAACAGCGTTTCACGCGACACAGAGGTACGAGCGCACTGCTGCGGGCGTCCTTCGTCCGACCTCGCGTTATAGATCACCGCCGCCTCGGGGCGTGATCTCCCCCCCCCCCCTGCCCGCGGCCCCCAGTCCCCAGTCCCCACACGGTGCCCCCAGTCCCTCCCCCCCCACCCTCGCCGCCCAGTTAGACGTCCACGTCCGGCCCGGCTGGTCAGCCGTCCACAGTCCGGGCCGGCCTGGTCAGCCTCCACAGCCGGCCGTCCCCGGTCAGCCATCCACAGGCCGGCCGTCCCGGTCAGCCATCCACAGCCGGCCGTCCCGGTCAGCCATCCACAGTCGGCCGTCCCGGTCAGCCGTCCACAGCCGGCCGTCCCGGTCAGCCATCCACAGCCGGCCGTCCCGGTCAGCCATCCACAGCCCCGTCCCGGTCAGCCATCCACAGCCGTCCCGGTCAGCCATCCACAGCCGGCCGTCCCGGTCAGCCGTCCACAGCCGGCCGTCCCGGTCAGCCGTCCACAGTCGGCCGTCCCGGTCAGCCGCCGTCCACAGCCGGCCGTCCCGGTCAGCCGTCCACAGCCGCCGGCCCGGCTAGCCACACCCAGTCGTCCGTACTCGGGCTGTCCCGTCTGCCCGTCCCAGAGCCCTGGCCTCCCGAGCCAGCCGGCCGCCGGCTGCCGCTCTCCCGCTGCTATCTCTGTTGACCGTTGGCAGGCGGGCGGCACCGCTTTCGCCGAACCCTGTCGACCAGCCGCGCTCCGGTGCCGCGTGCAGTCAGCGGCGGCGACAGAGCCGTCGGTGGCCGCTCTCCGTCACTGGCGTCGGCTCCGGTGCCGCGAGCAGTCAGCGGCGGCGGCAGAGCCGTCGTTGACCGCTCTCCGTCACTGGTATCGGCTCCGGTGCCGCGAGCAGTCAGCGGCGGCGACAGAGCCCTGGGTGACCGCTCTCTGTCACTGGTGTCAGCTCCGGCTGGTGCGAGCAGTCAGCGGCGGCGGCAGAGCCGTCGGTGACCGCTCTCCGTCACTGGTGTCGGCTCCGGCTAGGGCGCGCCGGAGCCCGCTGGCCAGCGCTCAGTGCACAGGCCCGTCTCATGAGAACCGACGCCGAGCCTGGGACGAACACTTTTACCATGATCTCGGTTGTGGAGCCTCGCACCGTGCGCCTGCGGCAAGCGGACTTCTGGACCCGCGACACGCCATGTTGTGCTCCCTGTCCCTGACTGCGTGTGTGGGATAGTGGAGTGACCCGGGAGGGGGGAGGGGGGGGGAGACCAGTCGGTATGGGCGTGATGGCCGAATGGTTAGTGCCTTCAGCTCCCATGTGGAGCGAGCTCGGGTCCAAACTCCGGTTGTGCAATAGCGTCTGAGCACTATATGGACTCTGCAGCCGCTGACGGTCCATACAAGGGCGCACGACGACGAGTTGTCGCGTTCCGTTTTTAATGTTAACAAGGTGACTAGTCATCGGTTACCACACGGAGCTTGTCGCCGACCGGTGGGCTGAGTCCGGACGTTCCCCCGTCCCGTGGCGCCGCGTTCGGGGCGCTTCTGGACCGCCCCGCCGCGGCCGTCGGCTCCGGGGGCTCCTGGCGTACCGCCCCTGCCGCGGTCGTCGGCTCCGGGGTCCCCTGCCGCGGTCGTCGGCTCCGGGGCGCTCCCGGGACCGCCCCCGCCGCGGCCGTCGGCTCCAGGGGCGCTCCCGGACCGCCCCCACCGCGGCCGTCGGCTCCGGGGTCGCTCCGGACCGCCCTCGCCACGCCCGTCGGCTCCAGGGGCCCCCACCGCGGCCGTCGGCTCCAGGGGCGCTCCCGGACCGCCCCCACCGCGGCCGTCGGCTCCGGGGGCGCTCTCGGACCGCCCCTGTCACGGCAGTCGGCTCCTGAGGCGCTCCCAGACCACCCCCGCCGCTGCCGCGGGGCGCCTGGCGTACCGGCGCCGCCTCGGCCCGAACGCTGACGGGCCGCTTCTGGGAAGACGTGACAGCTCACGCGCCAGTCGCCCGGTCCGTTACGGGGCGCGGGTCCATGCCGGTGGGGGGGGGGGGGGGGGGGGGGATGACGGGGTGCGGCTGCACGGCCGGCCGGTGGTCAGGGTGTGGTCGCGGGGTCTGGCTGAGACGGGCTGCAGCCGCGGGGCTGGCACGTGACGAGGCACCTCCGTGATGACAGGGGCCGCCTATGAAGAGGCGAGGGTGTCTGCAGGGTCGATCTGTAGCGCGGGTAGTCGCGGGGTGAGCGCGTAATGGGCCATCCCCACGGTCACAGGGAAGCTCGGCTTAGGGCCCGGCTGTGGTCGGGCGGGGTCGAGCGGACAGGCGCGCGGCGCGCTGGTCAGCTGACCGGCCGTGACGTCACAAATAACCGGCCCGAGCGGCCAGCTGACTGAAGTCACGAACAGCTGGTGGGCTGTTGCGACAGCACCGAGACAGGTCGGTAATAGTCGTGCTGGACTCCACCTTCTTGCGGTGAAATAGCAGGCAAAGCGTGGTCTGGGCTGCCACTGAAATGTAAAACGAACCCCAGGTTTTACGACGGCAGTGTCAGATGATAGGCCAGCATTCTATTCGTCTTTCAAGGGACCCTTGTTGCCAAAAGCAGGTATCTACCAAAGGTCTTCAGATCATTCGGAAATCAGAGCTTTAGAGTGCGGTTTTCGGCCCACCGATCCTGCAGTTTTCAATAAATCAATCTGGCCAGGCAGGATGTTACGCTGTACGGCTGCTTCGACATGCTCGGCGCCTTCCATTGTGTGCAGCCCACATTTTCTCCGCCTTGTGCGTATGTTGGAGGTGCGCGATCAGCACAGTTTAGCGAGCCAGCGTGTCCGCTGCGTCCCGGGTACATCGCCCCTACATTCCGCCGGGCATTCCGAGCTGTCGCGCCGCTGTAACGGGACCTGACGCTATCGCCGGGTGGCGTGCTCTCGCGTGCCGGCGCGCCGGGCCACGCATCGGGACGCATACCCATCAGGACGTGGCCGCTGAGACCTCGTCCGGCGCCACTGGGGTCGGGAGACCCTCTCCGGCCGGTGGGACCTCGTCCGGTGCCGCTGGGGTCGGGAGGCCCCCTCCGGCCGGTGGGACCTCGTCCGGCGCTGCTGGAGTCGGGAGACCCTCTCCGGCCGGTGGACCTCGTCCGGCGCCGCTGGAGTCGGGAGACCCCCTCCGGCCGGTGGGACCTCGCCCGGCGCCGCTGGAGTCGTGAGACCCCCTCCGGCCGGTGAGACCTCGTCCGGCGCCACTGGGGTCGGGAGACCCTCTCCGGCCGGTGAGACCTCGTCCGGCGCCGCTGGGGTCGGGAGACCCTCTCCGGCCGGTGTGTGGCGCTCGTGTCGCCGTGTTCTCGCCCGCCGTGATACGATGAGGTCGGCACAGCGATGGCGTGCCCATATCAGCTGCGAACGCTGCTCGGGCCCGGTGCGGCCTGTGGCCACTGGCGGGTCTCCCCGGTCTGGCCTCCGGTCTCCCCGCTGGCGCAGCCGCTGGTGACGTCACAGGCCGGAATACCCCGGGCCGCCGCCGCGGGCAGGGGGGGGGGGGGGGGGAGGCGGGGGCGGGGTGGGGTTGCGTGTCGGGCGCGCGTTTGGTGGCGCCTGTCATGCTGCCGCGGCGCCGCCTGGGCCAGCTGGCCGTAATTATTCCAAGCCACGCGCCGAGTGTGTCCCCAGCGGCGAGTGCCGCCATTCACCATACGGCAGCGGGCACGGATGTGAAGAGAGGTGAGCCCAGCTGCTCCCCTGTGCTGGAGCGCGCTCTGGGGAGACTGACGCCGGCACCTGGGGGTGACGCCACTCGGAGCCGCTTCCGTCCTTGTAGAGCCGTTAGAGGGCACCAGCCTCACCGAGCGGTACGTGCGGCGGATAGCGACAGGTGTCCTGAGGGGGGGGGGGGGGGCGAGGGGGTCACGCTTCACGTGAGATCGGGAGACCGGGAGAGGCGTATGGCTAGGCGTAGGGAGGGGAGCGAGCTACGGCTGGGCAGGTGCGGAGCCGTGGCTGAACAGGGACGGAGCCGTGGCTGGGCAGAGGCAGAACCGTGGCTGGGCAGGAACAGCGCCGTGAATGGGCAGGGGACGGGAATCGTGGCTGGGCAGGGTCGGAACCGTGGCTGCGCACGGGCGGAGTCGTGGGCTGCGTACGGGCAGAGTCGTGGCTGGGCAGGGTCGGAGCCGTGGCTGCGCAGGGACGGAGGCACGGCTGGGGAGGGGTGGAGCCGTGGCTGGGTCGGGGTGGAGCCGTGGCTGGGCAGGGGCGGAGCCGTGGCAAGGGCAGGGGCGCAATTGGGAGGAAGGACGTCAAGAGCGGCCAGGTGTGGAGACGCTAACAGGGGGCCACGGGGCGGAGGCTGAGATTTGAATACAAGTGGGACATTCTAAATAAGATAATCCGCCTTAACGAGCCATGGCAGAGCCTAGCCATGTGTCAGTCGGCGGCGAAGGCCTTGCCGCGCCCACGCTCGCGCTCAGTAACGAGGAAGGCCTGTGTGAATTTCGAAACGTGTGTTCAGCCAGAAGAAGTGGAAGAGCGGAATGAAAGAAATTGTGAATGCAAAGCTGTCCTTGGTATTACATTCTGTCGAACTAGCCTTGGATGGGCCATTGGCGGACCGAATCGGCCGACCTTCAGTACCGAATGTTTTCAGTGAATGAGGAAATCGACCTTCCTCTGAGTGAATCGTACTCAGACAGCTGGCCATAAATCCACAACACGAAACTGGCCATTCCTAGCACTGCGGCCGTGAAGGCAGAAGCTTGACGCGAAAGCGGTGTGCTGTCGTGTGATCTGGCCATATTCTGTCTTCGGCGAGACAGCGGTAGTTGGACCGTCAGTGGTCGGCCTGCTGGGCCGTGTCCCCTATCTGTTCACCGCCGATCCTCACCGCCGTGTGTCCCTTCAGCGGGATACACCGATGTCCTGCCCCTTCACGGGATACACCGCTGTCCCGCCCCTTCACGGGATACACCGCTGTCCTGCCCATTCCCCGACTCCCTTCTATGCCGCTCGATGTGTTCTCTATCCAGCGAACCACGAGGC